GGGCTATATGAAGGGCCCTAAAAATTCAGGAGTTTGCATTGCACACAACAGTGGTCTGACTCCCTGCGGCAACTCAGGTTAGGTTAGGTGACGTTTGGTTAGATGAATACAGCACAATGCAGTATCGATACTGCCGGTCGAGTTACAGTGCTCACGTTCATGTCGTGTTGGAATCCGGTCAGAACTTCTGCCTCAGTACGAAATAACCACCTCAACAAAGTGGATGTTTTTTTAAAAGCTGATAGTCACTCAGTTAGTAAATAAATTCCTTGCTTTATATGGAACCCGGGATTTCATTGGCGTGTTCACAAGGACCCCACTGTTCTTATATTCTGAAGTAACTGTCTCCGGTAGAACAGTCATTGTTGGAAAGGTGAATTGTTTCTCAGCCAAGAGTTGGTCCGTCTTTTATGGAGCTCTAATGCTCGTTGTCGTATTCTCAGGGTCCCGCCATTGATACCTGCCGTGAGCCAGTTGATTACAGTCCACATCTTCTCACCCTGGTTCTTAAATTTTATCTGCTTGAAGATAGATTGTAAAAGTGTGAAGCTGTCCCACTACACGCCATGTAGTTGCTTGGCGGTGTTGGAGAGAAGGTGTAGCTCCTACTCATTCTTGACCTCGGCACTAGATGGGGGTGAGTGGTCAGCGTCACGCCTCGGCCTCGCTTTACCTCCGTGAAAGGACCCCGTTACCCATTGGCAAGGGATTGGGTGGACCCCAGAACCGGTCTGAATGCAGAGGAAGACGGATTCTTCTGGCCAAAGTTGTTCGTGATCTTATTTTTGCAGTTCATCCAGCTATAAAATCTACTGGGCATATTTATCTTTTTTTTTAGTGTTCTGTCTGGCTACAGGTCCATATGAACTGGATCCTTCCATCCTTTTCTCGGACTGGGTCCTGATCATATACGTTCTTGGCAGATGATCCAGAAGTGGTTTGCCATTGCCTTCTTCTGTGTGTGAATGGGATGCCACGGAGAAACCGGGGAAACTCCGTGTTGCCTAGACCACGGCCTTGCCCAACACAAGTTATAAATTCGGGAATCGAACCCGAGACCCCAGGATTACAAGGCCAGCGATCTAACCGCTAGAACACCGTGGCTGGTATATTTATCTTACGCAGAGTTTTCATCTCGTGTGTGTGTGTGTGGGAGGGGGGGAGGTTGTCTCGTTCTAGTGTTAGTCAGATTATTGTCATGACTAATCTTTTCGTGGTTTTCCTTTTGAATTTGAGACAAATATGGTGATACTAATTAAAAAAACACCAGGCAGGTCTAACTCATTTGTACTTCGCTACATTTGTATGTGGGTTTTGATACTGAGCTGGTTTGTGGTTTTCACAGCGGTGAGAATGAAGATGATGTTCTCGGTTCTGGCGCTATGTAGACTCTACGGTAGACGCGAACGTTTCAATGAGACATAATAGCCATCTTCAGGGGTGAAGTTGGAAACTATGTTTCTCCGAAACGCTGGCATCTACCGTATACCGTAGTCTGTTGGCGCCAACATCTTCCTCGTAAGTAGGGTGTGCACATGGGCACAATGTCCTTTGTGAAAAGGTTTGACAAAATCTTGTGGCTGTGCTCATAAGAATAAATTGTGATCGAGTAGTGAGTGTTACGTAAAGGAAGCACGAAGAACGTAAAAAGTTATGGCTTGACGTGTTAACTGCACTCACTTCTAAAAGAGACAGTCGTTGACTTGGCGCACTTCTCAGTGACAGTGGTCCGCCATTTCTTAAAGTACTTCTGTTCTAGGTTAAAGCGAGAGGGGCCTGGGCCAAACCAAGTTCCTTTCATCTGGCGGATGACGGCTCCACAGCTGCACGAGTGACGTCATTCAACTCTCTTCTGCTCGCTTTAAAATCCGTGTCTTTGACAGTGGCTGTTTTTATTAATACTTCGCATCATTCATTTTGAAACTGCAGAGAACATAAATTTCGTGCTTCGATATCACTTTAGTATTTTTCCGTCTTTATGTGATGCATCGCTCAGTGAAAACAGACGGGACATGTCACGTACGAAACGCGGTTTATGTGTGCGTTAAACTTCGTCTCTCACTCAAAGGGAAGAGCTGCCATTGAGGGCGTTTGAGAACGAGGGACTGAGGAGAATATTTTTACCGAAAGAATAGGAAGTAACAATTAGATGGGATCGCTACAGAGCAAGAGATTTAATATTTACTCTCTTCGTCAAATATCACTACGACAAATTGATCGAAGATTGTTTGATGGGCGAGGCATCTAGTACGCTCGAGATGAGCAGTGCATGGAAATTTTAGTTTAAAAACATGGAGGAGAGCTTACTTTGGGGACCTAAGCGTAGATGGAGGTATAATTTTGAAGTATGTCGTAAATAAGCGGGATGTGAGGTTGTGGATTCCTGTGGCTCAGGGTAGGGTCTGGTGGTGGGTTTTGGTGAACCCGGTAGTAAGGCGGCGTTTTCTTGATCCTCTGAGCAACTGTCAGATTCTCTTCCCCGCAGAATGAATATTTTATAAGATTAGCTGTTAACAGAATCTTCAAGCGGATCTATGGGGCAGTTCACCACCCCTTGCTTCTCTGAGGTGAGTGGTTCTTGGCGTCGTTGATAAACTGAGGGTACATGAGAAAAGGCGTGGCCAATTTCAAGACAGTGTCCCAGAATTCACTTAAGGAAAACAAAGCCTAGGTCATATTACTCTAATTTATGCTGAGTCCTGGTTATTGGGTCGATGGGTGGTTGACGATTATGTAATCAACATTTTGAATAGATGGAAACATTTCTTTAACCAGCTCTTAAATGTTCATTGGACTGATTCGCTTCGCTTTAGTTTCTGTCTCTTATTGATAAGCTCGTTCTGCAGCCCAGGAGTCAGCGAGTTCTGCCACAATTACCTCCGTAAGAGCGAACAACTCTGATCTCATATCGGAACGATGGGTTATTGATCGCCCTGTTATGACATTAATGATCGCGGTGTCTTGCTTCTTGTACAGTTGGCGACACTGCAACATCGTCACCGTTGGTTCAGTATGCAGTCTTCATACTAGACGTAACCTTCCGACGAAGAAAAGAAAAAGTATGATGTTGGGGGCTGAGACCCTTGAGCCGTTTATACACTTGGAATTTCGTCTTGTTGGATGTTGGACATCGTTCACAAAGTTTCTCTACGATTTCCACGTGACTGCACGTGTACTTGAACATCTCACTGACACCGAGTTTGCATGTGTTTGATTGTAATTAATTCAGTCGAACGCGAAGTCTTATTTTCAATCACACCCTAATTTGTCAGATACATGACAGCACACCACAGAATTTCGCCTCACGAAACTATACGCGGCATAAATATGTATCTGCCACTTTTAGACTGTGGACACATGAAAACAGAACGAAACATTTGTTTAATAAAACTATCGATGACAAGCCGATATGTGTGAATGTGTGCTACAAATTCTAATCACGAAAGACCCAGAGGTATAACCGTGCGGGCATGTGTTTCGTTATGAAAATATTCGGGGCACACCTCAAACCTTGCACGCCGGTTGAGTGTCATTGGTCTAAATTATGTTCACACCAGAGAAAGCAACGCTATTTGTGCGAAAATGTATCAAACTAAGCTGACTGTACCAGAACAACTAACCTGGTATCGCAATTCTTTTTTTTTTTTTTTTTTTTTTTAAATTTACGTTTGACTTCACCAATTTTCTATTATTTACCACTGTGCGACGAATGGTGATCGCTTGATGCATTGAAAGGTTTCCATGCAACAAAACAACTTTTGCCATTGATCGCTTTATGCACCCAAAATAAAAATAAAAGTTAATGCCTCCTAGCAGCGAGATCATAGTCGGAGGAAGCTGAGAGGTGAAGGGGGTATGGATTTGTTTTACCGTCGGCGTCAAAAGGGAGGCTAAGAGGTTGTGCTTATTGCCTATGTACCCAGTACAACTGCGAAATTATTTTTATTATACTGCTGTAAATGAATAGAAAAAATGTTTAACACTTCCTTTATTCATCATCTTTAATAATATCAAATTATACCCCGGCGATGGTTTCAGTACATGCCGCCCCAATCAGCAGTCATTTTGTTTGACGTCTTCAGGCATTCAGGGGATGTACCCTGCCATTGTTCTAAAACTTTTAATTTGTACATTTTTGTAGTGTGTTTTACAGCTCACAGCGGAATTTAAGTCTGGCGTGAGAATATCGCAGACCTGTCGTACTTTGTGAACAGAGGGACACGCGGTATTGTATCTGCTAGGTATCGTGAACCACGGTTTGAGTAATGTTTGTATTGAGATTTACTACAGTCCAGAAATCCTGTATCCCATACGAACATTATTTTACGACATTTCACGATTTATCTCAATGTATAGTTTGTTATATAGTTTCAAAGACCATTCAGCCGTTTCTTGAGTTCCGTTTGTAGTTTTATGGACTCCGCTTGTGGGTCGTATAATAAACTCTTCAAATCAGGACTTATCGGTGCAAAAGAATGATCGGCCTGGTTTCTCATCTCCCACCTTAATCAGTTGAAAACCCCGTGTTACCATGGCAACTGAATCGAGGTTTTCTGTTCCTTTTGTTGTGTACTTCTTTCATTTCTCACGATCGGGGTGTGTCGCTACCACAGAACACGCTACCTTGCTGCCTCCATCATCAGGGCGATCATCGAAACCTCAAATCCTAATAAGTAATGTAATGTTTATCAACTGTATACAGATTTATATTCAACATTTTTGTGTCAAGGCTAATTTAGTCAAAATTTTGCATACTGAATGTCATAATTCACTCCGTTTGCCAGATATTTTTGGTGATTATTTTCACGAGAGCGGAACGTGGGTATGACACGTGGCAAATATGGAAGAAATGAGACGGTCGTTGTTTCAGTACCACTTTGATTATTTGGGTTCCACTCCAGGGAATTGTTGGCCAGCTGAATCACTGTCAGCTGCACCTTCTTAGTACCTGTTAATGACGCAACCCGTCTGACACGTGACTGTGTTTCTACGTGTTACAGTACATCGGAACCCTGGACGTGCCGCGTCCGACAAGCCGCGTCGAGATTGTTGCAGCCATGCGGAGAATACGGGTGAGTACGCATGCCCTCTACTCAGCGTTTTGCATAAGAATCATAACAGTAACGACCTACATGGCAAAATTTGCATGTCCTTATGCCCTTGAAATAACCATGAAATTTCAAATTCCTCTATCCGGCTGAAGACTGATCCGACATAGATGTGACCTTGGCGTGACTTAGATCTAACTATGGCCAAAAATTGACCTGACTCCCGCCTCTCCCAAACCTGCGGTTTGGCAAGAAATTTCATGTCCTTATGATGACCTTGAAATTTCATCTTCGCTAATAAGCAGATGATTGGCATGAGATCGATTTGACTTTGGCGTGACCTTGACCTAATCGGTGCTTAACATTGATATGAGTTTCGCTTCTGACAGACTTAAGGTTCAGCAAGAAATTGCATGTCCTTATGATCTTGAAAATACCTTTAAATTTCAGATGCCTCTATTAAGCAGCGGGTTGGCCTGACATTGATGTGACATTGGCATACCCTTGACATAATAGCCGCTTAACATTTACATGACCCTCCTCTTTCAGATCTAGGGCTCGGCAGGAAATTGGATGTCCTTATTATGCCCTTGAAATTTCAAATGCCTCTGATAGGCAAAGGATTGCTGTGGGATGGATGTGACCTTGTCATGACCTTGACCAAACCACATCCTAACATTGTAGTGACACTCGCGTGTTCCAGGTCTACGATTTTTTTATTAAATTGCAGGTCTTTCTTATAATTTTCAAATAACCTTTAAATTTCAAATGCATCTTGGCATAACCTTTACCGAATAGTGGCCTGACATTGACATGACACTCGCCTCTCCGAGGCTTACGGTCCGGCAATTAATCACATGTCTTTATAGTGACCTTGAAATTTCAAATGCCTCTTAGACAGTTTTGGCCTGAGATGGGTGTGATCTTGGCATGACCTTGACGTAACCAGAATTTATATTTTAGTTAAAGTAGGTTGTTTGTTGACGGGCTTTTGGAGCAACGTCTATGAATGTTGTTATATATACAGTATATTCCGGTTAATTTGGCCATCGGTTAATCGGGGCAGCCGTTGATTTGGGACAAATCTTAAAAAGAACAAACCTTTTTAACTCTTTACGCTTTTCGTACTTGTGTTGAATCCAGAATTGGTTCTACGTGTCGTTTGTTCTATAAGTTACCGGACCGTGGCATAATTTGAAAACCTTTCAACACATCTCGTCACATGCATATATATATATATATATATATATATATATATATAACACCTACATGTAGACTGATAATAACGCCGTGTTACCTCGCACACATCAGTGAATGGAGAAGCGTATTATTTCAAGAGTGCCTTGATCTGACGAGTTGGGGAAGTACACGCTTAGTCTACGTTTGTTATTTTTTGTGGGAACATAATTGGCATAAGAGGGATGCAGACAGAAGAGAGTATTAAAGAATAGTGAGGAAGTCTGGAACCGAATGAACTACGTCAGTTTCTGTTCTGTGCTGATGATGCTAATTTATAAATGTCATAAAGAAGCCCCATTATATCTATGTAAGGACATTGGTCTGGAAATAGTCACACAGGTAACTATGTAAGCCTAGGCGTGAGTTCCGGTCTTGTTACCAGATTTCACGACAAATTAATAGTATAAAGATAGGTAATGAAGCCTCTGAATGTGTGGTAAAATCAAAGGTTGAGAAAGTTAAATGAGTCGTGTCATAATCTGAAAACTTCACTAGGTATTAACGTAATCAAAGAAAATATACCTGGCGGGACGTGTAGCACGCAACACGGCGATAAATATAATACAACATTTTACTAACGAATTGTGGTGTGTTAATGTGGCTGGTTAGGTTTTGAATTCCTCAGGACAGCGTCCCGTGACGAGCTGCTGTGAACGTGGTAATGAACCTTCTGTTTACATAAGGTGGGGGGGGGGTCCTTCACCACTTGAGCAACTGTTAGCTTCTCGGGAATGATTGTGCTCCTTCAAGTTAGCTATAGGCTAAGTCTGAGCTGCCGTGGAAGCACTTCGGACAGACGACCCTCGTGGCACAGTACAAGTCTCTTGCCCCTTTAGACCTTCTTGCTGTTAACCCTCGAAGATTGCTTTCTGAGGAGTAAATGCAACTATGTGTCTCCTCAGCTTAACTTTTACACAGATTTCCTAATGGCGAATTACAGCTCTTTCTGTTTTTTTTGTTTTTTCAGTACGAGTTTAAAGCGAAGGGAATTAAAAAGAAGAAAGTAGTTCTGGAAGTGTCTGTAGATGGCGTCAGGATCACACTGCGGAAAAAGAAAAAGGTAAGTTCCTCAAGTTCAGGGAAATAATTTATGTTGCTAGAATTTGCCTGAAGAGCATGGTAAGAAACTAGAATCAGTTCAAAAAGGAAAGTAAAACAATATTACAAAGAGATGCAATGAACTGTGTATTAGTATCAGACCTGGACCTCTTCGGTTCATATCCTATTCATTCCACGATCATAACCACAAAGACAACGTTACGTAGGCAATTCAGGAAGACGAGTGATGGATTAGCGTAGACCCAGTGGAGTGTTTATAAAATGATACATTAAATATTTACATTTTCCAAACTGGCTGACATGTTTCTTTTTGTCTTCGATGTCTTGTCCTTACGGAAACTGAAACTACCTTTCACGTCTTACCCCACCTGAAATTCTTCATGAATTTCAGACACCTCACAAAATTAAGATGAAAGTGGCTTAGTCACCTTGCCGGCCGGAGTTTGATTCCTGGCAAGGGCAAGAATTTTGTTTTTCTCGTCATCACGTCCTGACCAGCTGTGGCCCGTACGTCTCCATGGCGTGGTATTTGAGTATAGGGACACCTTTGTTCGTGATCTTCGATCATTCAAGTGAAGAGGCTTGAAGACTGAGCTAACATTTGTTATGAAACTACGAGGGTGTCCGCAGTTTCACTGCTTCGAAATTCAACACATCCTTCCATTTCTTATAATTCTTTATTGTCTGAATGCTTATCATAGGCCTTATCTTTCGATACGCAACGTTTAAAGTCATAGGAAAAAAATTATATTCCTTAAATCCAAGAACATCCGCCTCTACTGTGTCATCTGCTGTAATAGTTTAAAAGATATTTGTCAGGATTTTACCATTCCTTCCGTATTAATGTAAATAGCATTTCGGTCGAATATTCCTCCTCAGGTTATTTGAGCCCTGAATTTGTTGAATTCTGAAACTTATTAGTGCATGTAATTCTTTTTAGAACATCTTCATGGTAGGTAGGTACACAGTTTTTTCTTAGTGTTGTTTCTCCAAGACAAATTTGAACTGCTCATTGTTCACTTTGTTCAGTTGGCAGACGTCATCATTTCATATACGGATTCACTGTAAGTGTCTGAGAAATGTAGTTACAAGTAAAAGTTTATACCCAAAATATAATCAAAATATGAAATTTATCCTCAAAATACAACCGAAATATGCATTTAACTACAAATATGACCAAACACATAAAAATGACCTAAATATGCATTTATATGCAAAATAAAAACAGCATAATTGTGATTGGGATAACCCAGTTAGTGTTTAATTTTTTAGTTTAGAATCAAAATAGAAGTCCCAATAACAATATGACATGTTATGAACATCCGAACCCTAGTTATTTATCAGACAGTACTTTTCGTACGGCCACCATCTTATTTTGAGGGGGCCGTCATACTAAATTTCGTGAAAATTAGGCGTTTAGTTCACAATTTTAATGGAGAAACAGATTAAAAAAGAGGCAAGTTAACGGCGAATGTCAAATTATTTTAAAATGAAAATTAGAACATGGAAATTTGTACAAACAATTCGAATTAATATGATCTTGGCAGTCTGTGTTGATTTTCACCGTCATGAGACCCACACGATTGTTTAACACTGACATTTGTATTACACCAGACCAAAAAATTGTAAGTACTAATCCGTTATAGTCCTAATTTCTACTGTGCCCTGGAATAATAGTCGCGTTTCTATAAGGGAATTTTGAATGTCTGATCTTCTTGTATGGCTTTCGTACGGTGAACCATTTTATTTTATACAGGACGTCTATTGTCAACCTGTAAATCTCATTTCGTTCGTCATATATCCTCCTATTCTTCTCTATTCAGCCGCGTGTGGTTGCCTTAGTAACGTGACTTAGTAATCTTAAGATTGAATAAAAAGGGTGTAGCGTTGTGCATTGAATTCATAAAACGCTGACTTCCATTCTGTTCAACATCCGTTTTGTCCTATGAAGTAACTTGAAGATTAAAATACGCTGTAGGCCTGATCTTTGTTCTGTTGTGGGCGTGAGACTTTCTCTCGTCGTAGGGGAAGGAAGTCGACTGAGATCGAGACTTTTTGATAAATCGATTAGATCTGAGAGCAAAGTAGTGACATTAAGACGGCGGAAAGTTTGATGTGGGGTTCCTCATAATTTGTACATTGCCACAAAATAATTCAAGCCAGAAGACTTTAGATGGGCGGAATTTGTAGGAAGTAGAAATATTTTTAGTGATAAAACTTCAGGACAAGTCACTACTTTGGATGCCGTGACGTAGAGGATGATATTAAAACCGATCTGAGAGAAATGGGTTATAGAGTGTTCGATAAGATTTAATTAGCTGATTATGGAATAAAATATCGGACTTTTTATATCATTGTGATGAACCTTCGGGTGTTATAAAAGGAGGGAACATTTGTGGTCAGCTGTGCGTCTATGACGCAGGTAAGTTTGGATGAGTCGTTTGCGTTGTTGAGACAGCGTTCTGCCTCTTGGCGGACCAAGTCACGTTTCTTGTGACAGCCATCGTCGGATGCTGAGAAAGGGTGATCGCATTTCCCCACAATCAGACAACGAGACACTCGTTCATTTGTTTCTAAATTCGAAAGTCATTCAGTCTCCGCTTTTACGAATAATTTCGTTCCTGGAGAGAGTTTGGGGTCACTTTCCCGAACTACCGTAAAATTACCAAAAAATAAATAAAACTTTTTATCTAAAAAGTAACGTTCTTGGCGGGAGTGGAGATATAGGTCCTACTCATTCTTAACTTCGGCAGTACATGCGGGTGAGCGGTCAGCATTTACCCCCGGGAAGGAACCGCGGTACCCATTGGACAGGAGGCTGGGTGGGGCCGAGAGCCGGTCTGGATACAGAGGCTAGAGGAAAGATCCTCTGCCCTTGAAGGGGATCGAACCCCGGTCGTCCAGCCTGTAGTCTGACTGGGCTGCCCCGATATAACTTTTCCCCTTATCAGCCATCGTTGACGACATATTAAGCACGGAACTGTCAAAGAATAGCACGTCTTTGACAAGATGCGGACACCCAAGCAGAGCGTAAGGCGAAGAGACTCATGTACGCCCAGGGTTTTACCGAGTGACTGGAAGACTCTGTGCGTTTTTTGCAGGCGCGTGTTCGATTTTGGTTTGCGATCGGATGACGAATAAAGTTCGTACGAGGGAAATTTTGTAAATTACGGCCGACTTATACCTATCGTTTCTTCTCTGTCCGGAGTCTCACTTGTACGACTATAGAAGTCTGGGCGAGACGGTACCACGCGGAACCACTGCATGATCTGGGGTGCCTGCCGAAGACCTTGCCCAGCCAGCGAGCACCAGCTTGGAAACCGCGAGACAACTACAAATAATCTCTTTGCTGTAACATCCACTCGTCATGCGCTTGTTCCGGATGCTAAGCATTCGTAAGTAATGGGGTTATTGATGTTCTTTCTCGTCACCATGGCAACAAAGCAAACACCTGGAGCAACACCATTATTTTCGTGGAAGCCTTCCATGCCTTCCTATTATAATCTACGTTTTATAGAACAACAGGTTTTTAATTAATACCCGCTACGTGTTGAGCCAGTAAACAGCGATCCTGCATCGTTAGCTTTTATCAACAATGCAGATATAAGAGTGAAGCACGGATCCTTATGAGCTTTTACTTCCATTTCTCTCACCTCCCTTGGATATGTTTTCATTTACAAAACCGAGAGTTGCAGTACGACTATGTTTCGTAAGAATATACTTTAAGCAATTTATAGTACATTACTAATGTGAAAAGTTTATTTAGATGTTTAAATTTCATCCAATATAATGTATTTTTTTATTTTATAATTAGCGGGATGGTGTACGGTAGAAGGAACAGCCACTGCCGCATTCGTACGGCTCGTGCACGTGGTGATTCGGAGTGCATTGCTGTGCCATCCAAAGAAAAGTTAACAGGCGTCGGTGTTTTAAAGGCGATTTATGAAGTTTAATTTGTGTTTTTCAACAGAATGGATAATGTTGCTTCTGCCAAACAAACACCGCGCTCGGGTTTAGCAAACATTGCAACAAACGCATTGCTTCAATCTTATGTCTGGAAGCCCTATAGGATAGAAGGGTGTCCAATGTCCAAACAGTATCTTATTTACCGTCGACATTGCTGTGCTGTTGCTTATACTTAGTTCTGTCATCAGGCTTGGAATTCACGTTCAACGTAAATGCTGCATTGAAGTCAGTTCGCATTTAAGCTACGAGGTGCGATCGAAAGGTTTCAAGACTGCGCGTATAAAAACCCGTACACTTATCTCAGGTATTAAATTCATCCATCACCCTCGAAGTAGTTCCCCTGGGAGTGAACACAACGATCCCAGCGCCGCTGC